ATTTTAGTATCATTTTAGGAAAAAAAAAAAGTTTGTGGCATGATTCATTTAGTTTCAACTCTGCCAAGCAAAGGTAACAAAAAATACCTGAGGGTATAGGCTAGCCCAGTGTTTCTCAACCTTGGCAACTGGAAGAAGTGTGGACTTCAACTCCCAGAATTCCCCAGCCAGTTGAAGTCCACACCTCTTCCAGTTGCCAAGGTTGAGAAACACTGGGCTAGCCTATACCCTCAGGTATTTTTTGTTACCTTTGCTTGGCAGAGTTGAAACTAAATGAATCATGCCACAAACTTTTTTTTTTTCCTAAAATGATACTAAAATCCTTGGCAGATCAGCCAGATGAATTCTCTGGGGCAGGAGTTGGAAACCATCAAAATGGAAAATGAAGGCCTCTGGAAAAAACAGGTCACATTGGATGAGCAGGTGATGGAGGTCTGTTTCATCAGATGCTTTTTTTCCCCCAAACTGCAAGAGTAGAATACTTTATTTTTAACAATTAAGGACTGATGCCAAGAGTTTGTTCCAAGATCAGATATAACGTCCTTCTGAGATGTGCAAGAAATTAGTATGAGATGAAGCCATTCCACAGTAGAATAGCCAAGGCCAGAGGAGTTGCCCATCTGGGCCAGCCCTCCCCAATCTGATGCTCTCCAGATGTGTTACACTCCAACTTATATCCAGCCAGTTTCATTTGACAAGGGTGGGAAGGTTCTATTGATTAACCCTTTGCCATGACTAGTAAAAGAAATGTCCATGCCTGAGCAGTGAAGAATGGGCAAGTCCAAGAGAGATTTTCAAGGTGGCAGAAGAATTATCTGAACTTATCTTGATTTAGGCATGAGATGTGAGCATAGCAGATGGTTGCTTTCTTTAGTCCTGAGATATGCAAATATTTTCAGGTTGAGGGTGACACTGAATGGTGTGTTCTGGACTGGCATTTTCCCAAAATACATGAGGCCAGGACCAAAACTAAATTAGATTTAATATAGTTTAATTTTCATTTAAGTTAGTTAAAAGTATATTAAGTAAATACTGCAAACAAGATTACTCCAAATGTGGACTGATTTCCATTTCCTGTCATTTTAAAAACTACACTTTGATGACTACTTTTAGAAAGGCTGTGGGGCCCACCATCAAAGCTTTTCGCATTTATCTACTTTTGCTCTAGCCCACAATTCACTGGTTTGACTGACAGCAGCTCTCCAGGTCTTACATAGAGAGCTCCTTCGCTCCCTCCCTGCTCTGTTATCTGAAATTTCTGTAACTAACTCTGGGATCCTCTGTGGGTAAAACATAGGGTCACAGCCCCTTCCCCTAAAAAGATCATAAGCAATCCTTGTTATAGCATTTCCAGAATTTTGCATTAAAGCAGTAAGCATCTAAGACCAGGTGGTGTAATGGTTAAAGTGCTGGTCGAGGCACTTTAAGGCAGAACCAGATTTCAGTTCCTGTTGGACTGTAGATTTCACTCAGTGACTTTTGAGTCAGTGATACTCTCTAAGTCTCTCTACCTCAGAGTGATTGAAGGAATAAAATTACAGATCTCAAAGTAAGTCACCTTGAGCTTGGAGAGGATATAAACGCAATAAATCAGCAATGCTTTTGTGGAAAAAGGGGGCCATTGGGGGATGGGGATATGGAGTTTGGAAAGGCAGGTTCAACGTAAAATAGTTTCATTAAGCTTAATAGAGTCTGAGCTCAACTGTTTTCATTGTCAGTTTTAATTTTAAAAAAAGAGCTAAATTGTCCCCCTGGGAACAGACATTTTACTGCTGAATTTTGATGGTACAAAAATTCAAGCACTTTTGCATTCAACCAATTATTAAATTAAATCAAAATTTTCTCTCCAACAATGGCACATTTTGTGATCCGAATGAACTGAGAAAAGAAACATGTTGCCTAAGTTATTCTGGTTCTACAAGTTGCTGTGAGTGAGGCCAACAGTTATCCAAGGTTTGGAAGTCAATCCATTCCACCGCTTCTCAGACCACTAAAAGAGTGATCAGAAATGTTGATTCAGCTCCCACCCCCCCAACATATATGCTTGCTTCTGACATTCAGTTGGACATGACCTCACACTTTCAAATATCAGCCTGTTTGCTTGAAACCTGTACTTGCTTTCAATTCAAACCAGATCTCTTAAGAAGTTGAGTTCTGTGCATACTAAATGTGCAGGACACACCTGGCCCAGCCTATATTCTCTTGAAGGGAATAGACATGAAAGAGAGACTCCATGTACACATCCCACCAGCAGCTCTGTTTCTCTGAAAGAGTCCTTGTCTTTTTGTACTTTGTTACTCTTTTTCTGTGCAAGTTTCTCTTGGCCTTTTTGGCCCTTTGATTCCCATAATGGCCTCTCCATCTTGTGTTTTTTCTTCTTCCTTTCTGGCTAACTGGTGCCTAGACCTTGGTGGCTGGAACTAGCAGAGATGAATGCAGTGCTCTGCCTGACTTAACATGTGAAGGTAGAACCAGTTCTTTTTTCTGTAATCCCACTGCATGGAAAGAAAAGACATGACATTACTTAGTATCTGCCATCTCATCTTTTCTTTGTTACAGACTTAGTCCTGAACATTAAGGCAATAACCTGTCTCATCTGAAGGAGCTACTCTTCATTTTAATGGACCTGTCAATGGTCTTGCTCAAGCATCACAGGGATAATAGGCAAAAAGGGAGCTTCTGCAGCAAATAATTTCTCTAGTTTCAGGAAGAGAGAGAAAAGGCTTATCTTTAAAGTCTGAGCTTTCCAAGAATATGAGACAGAATGCTTAAGGCAAAACCAAACTTCAGAAAAAAATGAAAAGTGGCTCTGAGATTCCATTTTCTTTTTTTTTCTATTTTCTGTTAATTGTTGGATGGGTTATTCATTTTCGTGTGATAACTGGAGTTGGTTTTCCTTCCATGGTTTTCCTACTGCATGCCTTTAGTGGAATGGTCAGACTGAAATTTGCATGGCCAGGTTTACTGCTCTTTGGAGATCTTTGAATTATGTAATCCCCCCTGTTTCTTTACTTTGTACAGCCAATTGGCATACTCAGAGGGTATGTTCTTTGTAAGCTAATTGTGATTACCAAATGCTTTTCCAAGTTGTACTACATTTTGAGCTCCAGCTACATTTCTCATGAACATGGTGCTGATGATGATTGTGGTGGCTGATAGCTTATATGGTTTTCCACAAAGTTCAGAGCACATGAACTGGATGTGCATGTGAGAGAATGGTTGCACATGCCCTTTCCACATCATCAGTCCTCCATCCTACCACTACCAAAAAGACATATAAAAGATTGTTGATATAATTCAGGTAAGAAGTAATTACTGGTGACTTTTCACAAAGGAGTCATCAGTGGAACCTCCATGATTAGACACAGTATAAATATCTTACCTGATGCTTCATATCTGAATTTCAACAAATATTGATTTGTGTTATTTTGCTGTAATCATCTTAATGCAACCTCTCCCAACCTGGTGATTTCCAAATGTGTTGGGCTACAACACCTAAAGAACATTTTGTCTGGGAATTCTGGGAGTTGCAGCTGAACTACAGAGCATCGGATTAGTTATACAACATTGTATAAAACTGTACCATAAGCTGGTTCTGGTGTTTCAGGACAAAAGCTAGTCAAATATTCTAGCAAATAAATAACATCTATCAAAAGCTTTCTCGCATTGTTCAAAATTCTAATAATTCATTACCATTTTAAAAGCTATTTTTATTATATTACTGTATTGCCTTACAGCTGCAGCTCCCTGTAGAGCTCACAGAATAAAAGGTTTGTAAAGTGTGTTTGTAGTTAGCAAAATGTATGGTTGGTTTTATAATGAGAAAAGTCTCCAGCTAGAACTGTAATTATCAATGCAATTCTAGAGTTTTCTGTTCAGAAGGCCTGTTGAGTTTAATGCTATTTATTCCAAGGTAAAAGTATATACAATTGCAATTAATCTGGGAGGATACATGCTTAATAACATTTGGCAGTTAATTATTTTTAAACTAGAGTCAACTGCTTCTAGCTATCTTGGTGATGTCTGACTTGGGGAGTCAGAACACAGAACTGGAAAGGCGCTTTTATCTCCTTATCAATTTACCATGTATATCTTCACCATAAATTTACTTTCTCAGAGAGGCTCAGTAAATTAGAAGAAACGATAAAAATAGTTACAAATTGTTAATATTAAAATAAAGCTTTAGGAATATATGGTGCTTCAGATCCAAAGCCAAAAATGTGCTTTGCAGGGGGCATGTGTGCACACACCAGCTCTATTGGTGCCTCCTTAAAGATTAATTGATTCTCTGCCATCAAGTCAGTGTTGAGTCTGAGCAACCACATAGATGGGCCTTCTTCAGAATGATCTGTCCCTACCTGGCCCTTCAGGTCTCCCAGCAATGTACCCATTGCTGCTGTCCATCACTGCTCCTCTTCTCTTTCCTTTCACCTTTCCCAGCATTGTGGACTTTTCAAGGAACTTCTTAAGGAAGCAACATCTTTTCCTGAGCTAGCTAGGTGAACCCAGGAAAGGATGTATTGGAATTAAGGAGGCACCAAATATGCATCCATACCACTCCAAAGTCCCCTTTCAGCATCAGCTCCAAAGCATGGCACAACTCTATAAAGCATGAATTTACACAGCAGTCCTTCATTTGGCAGAATAGCATTAGAAAACCCATTGGTGGAGTCACTCTGCACAATTTTGGCTTCATGAAGCCTACAGAAGATTGAAACAAAGAGAATTTGGCCTTTGACAGGAATAAAACACCCATTTTGTTAGTGCATGGGCTTTGACAGTGTGCAGTAGACTAAATTTTGTGTGTGAGTGTGCACATACAACTTAGAGGGAACATTAGAGACAGTTATTTGGAGTCCACCTTTGCATTCTTCCTGACTGATTCTGATGCTCAGATGTTGAGAGGGTGTTCTTGGTCTAGACCAGCAAGGCAGCAGTTTTATATTTTCCTACCCATCTTCTCTGGTACAGCTGCTTCACTCAAACTCCAGCATGATGCTTAGCCCGCCCCAGCATCCTCGCGAACTGCAGGAGATCCAGCAGCAAGGATGCCCTGTTGTCCCATCCGAACAGTACCAGCAGCTCCAGCACCAGTTCCTACAGGCCGAGAGGAGGTGTCAACGCCTGCAGGAGGAGCTTGAGAACCGGCCCTTGGAAACAAACATGCCCCAGGTACACTAATGTCAGTTTCTTCTTCGCTGAATATAGATTGGTCATCTACCACTTCACTTTTTCTTCACTGTGATCCTTTCTCTGTTTATGCCAGTTTCAAATTTCTAGTCCTCCCCTAGTACTTAATAGATACCATCCTTCCATATATTGCACCAAAGCATGCTATCTTCTTCCTAATCAGTCACTCTCTGGGGGCGATGGGCGGCATATAAATTTAAAAATAAATAAATAAATAAATAAAATGTCCCATCCGCTGACTGTGGTCATTGGTTTATGTCCATGAACTTCTTGAATTATAGAGCTGAAGGACATCAGAAAACATCTAATCTAACTTCCCTGCTAAGTGCAGGATCTGGTAAATGGCTTTGGACAAATGGCTATCTAACCTCTGGAGACCTCTGGGGAAGGGAAACATGCCCCTTATGAGGCATCCTATTCCACTGGTTGACAGCTCATACCTTCAAAAAAATTCTCCCGATATCGAACTTGAATCTACATCTCTGTAGTTTCATCTCATTGGTTCTTGTCCTGCCATCTAAGTGACAGAGATCATGTCCACTCCTTTCTTTATATGACAATCCTATGAATATCTGAAGACTCCTAACATATCTCCCTCTAGACTAGTCTTTTGCAAGCTAAACATACCCAGTTCTTTTCATCAATCTCCACAGGACTGATCATCTTAGTAGTACCCTTCTGAACTCACTCCAGTTTGCAGTGCCTGGAAGTAAATATAGTATCATAGCAGTTTTAACATAGAATTGGAAGAACTAGATTATCTGCACAGTGGAATTCAGTAGCAATCTAAGCAGCTGATATGTCTCAGTTGAATATGGCAATCATTCAGAATGAGGACATCCTACATAAGAGAATTTTTCATTTTGCAGAATGTCTCTGCACCAAAATGGAATCCGCCTTTTCTAATGAAAGAATAGGACAATCTGTAGCCATTCAGACATTACTGGAGTCCAATTCCTATCTGACCCCAGCTAGCCTGGCTGTTAGTCAAGATACATGAGAATTATTCTCTAGTAACATTTAGATAGCCACAGGTTTCTCCCGTATCTCCAATTCTAGAAAATGGACTGGACCTCCTTGCATCCTGCCTACTATACCATTCAGTTGTAAACATGCTAGCACTCTGATATATCACTACTATGGCTTTAAATTAAGTAATCATAGGTAAAATGTAATAATAGAAACAGAGGATCCAGCAATAATTCTGGTTTATGAGAATTGTCAATACACAACCCTATTCTGGCTTCTACTTATGGAATGCTGGAAGCTATGATATTCAGTTAACTTATAATTGACACTGACACATTGAATGCAATTATTGTCTACAACTTGAATACCCTTCATAAAGTGGATTGATTCAAAATGTTAAATCATTACTTGATTTTCATCTGAGATTTATGCTGCATCTTCCTCCTCTTCCTTCCTTTCTCTGCCTGATTCCCTCCTTTGAGCAAACTGTAATTTACTGTTACATCTGAACTAGCATACTTAGGTTTGCATTTTCCATCCAAACCATGATTGAAAAGCCAGATTTGAATGGGTTTCTAGTTCTGCAGTGTGGGCAAACTACAACATGTGTAAATTACAGAGTGATCAGTTGGATGTAACAATAAATGACAGCTGTCCTAAAATAAGGGATGTGGTGATCATGCAAATACATTAGCCTGAGGCTTAGAATCTGAACATGAGAGTAATTGGCTGTGTGGTGCTTGCTCTTTCTAAAGATCTATTAATCTTTAAAGTAAACTTGTCTGCAATGCATGACCTATTTGTGTGTGTGATTTCCTTGCTATTGTAATGAGCTGTGAGAATAACCTTGAGGAACAAGAGGAACAGCCGCAACCAAGATGATGGTCAGATAAAAGAAATCTGAGTCCAAAGCAGAAATGTAAGAAAACATCTCAGTCTTGACCCTCCCTAGTTCTCTTGTGGATAAAGGGGAGGGGAGGGGAGAGGTGCTTTCAGACTTGCAAGATTCTGCTGCTTCAACCCTGCAATAAAAGTAGTAGAATTCATAACTTTGGTTTCCTAGTCTGGTCTACCTCGAAGGGCTGACATCCATCTTATCCACAAGGGAACTAGGGAGGGTCAAGTCTGAGATGTTTCCTCAAACTACATTTCTGCTTTAGACTCAGATTTCTTTTATCTGATTGTTGCCTTGGTTGTGGATCTTCCTCCTGTCCCTCAGTGTTAATCTCGCAGCCCAATACAGCTATTGTGTCTGTCTGTCTTGATGTGATGGCTTAAATGGCACTGGGTGTTTGTGCTGCTTAAGCGTGATGTGCTGTTTTCAAAGACCTGTGGGTGAAGTGTGTCCTCCTTGCCTTCTTTCCCTAGGCTTTGCTTCCGGAGCAACGATCATTGCATGCAGATACGTACAGGCGGATTGGTCATCTCTGACACCCCTCGGCTTCTAACGCACCGCATTCCTTACTCACACTAACTGGCATAAGCTGAGAAACCCAGGGATCAAATTGCATTCGTGATTTAATTTAAATCATTTTTAAAAATCTGTCCAGTATTTTTTTTCCCTTCCTTTATTTATTTGTGTCAGAATCTATTTTTGTTAGGGGGAATGGGGAGAGAAAGAATCACATTTTTTTTATTTTAAATGTTTTTAATTTTTTATAAGTCAACTTCATTATTTATGTTATTTAAAAATGGCTTATCCAGGGGAGTTTGGAAAGAGAAAAACCTATTTTCCCCATGAATTGTATACTGTAATTATTTTTTAAACAAAATGTTACTAAATTTTTTTATATATTGGATTTGGAGAAGAAAATTTGGGTTATTTATACAAAATTTTGTACAAGATGTATAAATACTTTTTAAACAGGGAAAGAGCAAAGCTTTTGGGGCTTGTAACCGGATAAATAAAATACACATTTTTAAATATGTGTCTGTCTTTTTGTCTTACTAATGAATAGGGGTTTTTTTTATGTATTCCTTGTTGAAGCTGGAGTTTTTATTAGGCTGAATCATTCTGCCATGAAGTTCAATTAAGGCAATGTTTCCTTCCCTTGGCAACTTCCAGATGTGTGTATTTCAGTTCCCAGAATTCTCAGTAATAGTCATTCTGCTAAATTCTGGGAGATGAAGTCCACACATCAGGAAATTGCCAAGTCTGGAAAACACTGAATTAAGGCAAAACCATAGTTCAGCAATAAGCACATACTTTATATGCAGAAAGTCCCAGGTTTTATCCAGCCCCTGTAGGTAGAAATAGAATAGTCCACTCCAAAACCCTGGACAGCTGCAGTTAGTATCAACAATACTAGTGCCTTCCTATCTGTCTGTCTGTCTGTCTGTCTGCCTGCCTGTCTACCTACCTACCTACCTACCTACCTACCTACCTACCTACCTACCTACCTAAAACATTAAGAAAAATAATCTCTGGGAGAGCGCACTCAATTTCCCTAGCAATACAGCCATTTTCCAGGCTCCATAACCACGTTACTGGATCCCCAGGCCAGATGGCAAAGCCATGTTTTCAGGCCCTTCCAGAAGGCCAGCAAGGTCAGACCAATCTGACCTTGGGGGAATGATGCTGTTCCAGAGGTGGGCGCCAGAGCAGAAAAGGCTCTCTTCCTGGGTCCTGTCAGATGACCTTCGTTTGTGGATGTGACCAGCAACATGCCCTTCCTGCCAGACCTGATGGGACAGATAGTATTATTTCTAATCCAATATCAACAGTAAGAATGAAATGAGGATCTGTAATAATTCATCTTTGGTCATGGCAGAATTAGATTGGATCTTAGCAAGATATGGCAATAATAAGATATTCATATAAGACAGCTATCAGTTTGTTATAGCCAAGTTTGTTGTTGACACCAAATTATTCCGTTTACCATACCAAAAATTGACAGCAAAAACTTCAAAAGGATCTTTCCATAGTGAATAAACATTTAAATTTAATTGCAAAATTTAGAAAATTGGGGCAAAACATTCTATCCATCCATCCATCCATCCATCCATCCATCCATCCATCCATCCATCCATATAATACATATATACTTGAATTTATATTAATTGCAGTCATCAAGGAAAAGAGGTTTGGGGATGAAGATGGATAGATGAATTAAAACATTGACTCTTTCAGTGACTACTACAAAGGGTGAATCCATTTTAGGGTACACTGGAAAAGCATTTGAAAACAGAACTTCCAGTATTGTGACATCCCTACACTTTTAGAATGTCTTTACAAAATCTGTGGTATGATTTCACTTGGAATATTGTGAATGGATGGCTGTCACATCTCACCAAGTATAGGTAGTCCTCGACTTATGACTATTTGTTCAGCGACTGTTTGAAGTTACAACAGTGCTGAACAAAGGGACTTATGATTGGCATCTGAAGTTACAGCTGTTGCAGTGCTCCCGTGGTCATGTGATCAAAATTCAGGCACTTGGCAGCCTACCTGCACTTACAAACACAGGGATGCTTCAACTCCCCCCACCCACCTATCTTCCCCCCATCTCTGCCCTTTTGGGTACCCTGCACAGCAGCATTCATCAGTGGCAGTGGCAGCACTGGGGCTGAATTAGAGGCCTGGGGCCTTCAGGAGTCTCAGCTGGCCGCCACCACCCCACTTCAGTCCCAGCACCACCAGCACCGCTGCTGAGTGCTGCTTCAAGCCCTGTGCCATGGCCAGCCACTCCAGCACCAGAGCACAAAGCCCCAGCCACCCTGTGCTCCGCAGGCCCTGCTGCGCCCAGCTGACCTTCACTATTTTCCTCCCGCTGCTGACGAGCCCTGCCTTGTGCGAGGCAGCTGCTGGCTGTGCCAGCCCTTCTTCCCGAGGCCGCTCATGCCCTTCTCCAAATTGTGCCACCCATTCCCACACTACCTTGGAAGACCTTAGAATTTTTCCAAAGAATTTCTGAAGCAGGGCACGAACAGGGCATGTGATTTGGAGAATGACACACACGGCCTCAGGAAGAAGGGCCGACATGGCCAGCAGCTGCCTCACGTAAGGCAGGCCAGGCATGCCTCATCAGCAGCAGGAGGAAAATACTGAAGATCAGCTGGGCGCAGCAGGGCCTGTGCAGCACAGGGTGCCATGGCGGCTGGGGTTTTGTGCTATTGCACTGGGGTGGCTGGCCATGGTGCGGGGCTTGAGGTGGCACTCCTTAGCAGTGGTTCCACTGTGCTGGGACTGAAGTAGAGGCCTGGGGCGGGTGGCAGCAGCTGAGACTGCTAAAAGCCCCAGGCCTAATGGTGGCTAAAAGCACCACCGCCGAAGAATGCCAGTGTTCAGGGCAGCTAAAAGGGCAAGGAGATAGGTGGGTAGGGGGAGTTGAAGTGATGGTGAGCGCGGCAGGGCAGGGGAAGCATGAGATACTTAACTAATGACAGCGCTGCCCTGGCCTAACAACCACAACTGGGACTACTGGAACTGTCATTGCTAAGCGGTGTGGTCACATGATGTTTCGCCTAACAACGGTGGAAGTTCTAGTCCCAATTGTGGTCATAAGTTGAGGACTACCTACATATCATATGCTGGAAAGGATGCAGAAAGACTAACCAAAATTATCAAAATACTATTAATAGAGCACTATTAAAAAATATTACAATAGCCTTCCTCAACCTGGGCTAGAGAAAAATTCTTCCTATCTTAAGATAATAAAATATTACCGATCTCATCCAGTGAAGAATGATGGAGATATGTAATCTTTCTTCAGACATAGTTAAACCACAACATTTCCTACCACACAATGACTGGTTTACACAAGCCATAACTTTGCATGCTTGTTTTTAAGTTAGCATTTATATGAACCCAGCCATTGTGGTTCTTTAGTCATGGTATATGTATAGTCGAAGCACAGCTTAGAGGAATGTGTGAACTAATCACTACCAAGAGCCGCTAATTTGGACAGCTTTAAAGGGGGACTAGAAAAATTAATGCAGCATAAGTCTATATAAACCTTCAGAATCATAAGCACCACATCTCTGAATACCAGTTGCTGGGGAATAACTAGTCAGAGAGCTATTGCTTTGAGACCCTTTCTGGGCATCTAGTTGACTACTGTAATTGACTACATGAGCCTTGCCCATGTAGGATGGATATGTAGGACAATCTTTGTCCATGCAGGACAATCCAGCAGGGCTGCCCTTCATATTCAGAATTCCTACAGAAAATATCAATAGTTTTAGGTCAGCTTGTTTTCTGGAGTTTATGCTGGAAAGAATTGCTGATCCAGTTCATCACCAGAATGTATGTTTTGTTTTATTTCTGTTTTGGTTGATGAAAAATGGAGAAGTCTGCCAACAATTCATTCAGCTGAAATGAATCAAATGGCAGGGAAAGCTCCATGAAGATTTTTTTGATCAAATGATCCACTTTTAATGAAAAAACAGTGTCTGAAATGGTGCAATGGCCCATAGGGGTGCTAATCCATCTGTGAAGTGGCAGACTGGGGGCTGTCTCATGAGTATACCTACTACTGAGAGAGGAGCTATGTTCACATAATATACTTATGGCTAAGTAAACCATAGTTGAGACTCAATCCAATTTTGGCCTACTGAGCCTATAAACTAACTACAGTGGCTAGGTTTACACAGCATACTACGTTAAAATGTGATTAGTTAGTTTGGTTCTAATGTATTGTGTGAATGCAGCCCAAGACCCCAGATTGCTGCTTGAAATAAATCCCCTTCCAATTCTGCAATTCTGTTAAAGCTTTTCACTGGGAAAAGAGCTGCTATTAGAAAAGCGCTCAATTTCATGTGACAGACCAGAGACCCTTCCTGTCAACGCAACTCTCCATAAATCAATGAAACAAGTCTGTTGCTTTAAGTAGAAAGTTGAAGGATTTACTGTCACAAACAGATGGAAATTGTTCAGCCCATCTAAAAACAACACTACAGCTGCTTCCACTCCTCCACCCCCCCCCCCCCCCCCCCCGCCAAAGATTTTGAAAGGTACAGCGTCCATATAAAGGTGATCTTTGGCTGTGTTTTCACAACACATTCAATGTGAATACTGAAAACCGTACTCTGATTTCACAAAATACTTCAACCTGTCCAAAACAGGTTTGGTTTGCACAACCACCTAAATCACAAAAAACCTGAAAGTTAACCCTATCCAAACCTAGTATATTGTGCAAATATTTTTATTAGGTCTGGATCTGACTTGGCTAAGCATGTTGAGTGAACATTGTCATCTTGCCTTATCGCCTTGTGAGTTTCAATTGCTATGAACTGAAAATTAACATGGACCCTACATCTGTAGAAGCAGTGTAGTTCTGGCAACACCTACTTAACTTTCACTATTCTTCAAAAGCCAAGCAAGGGTGGATTTGATACTACTTGGATGGGAGACTACCAGGAAATACAGGGCTATAGATTAGACTATGAAGTCAGGAAAAGGCAGCAAACCACCTGCATATTGTTGACAAGAATGTCTCATTACCAGATTTGGTAACATCATCAGTGCTAGTTAGTGTGGAGTTTGCTCCTTGTTTATATACAGAAACTTGCCCTGCCAGTGTTGGTGGGGGTGTGGTTTTCTCCTTGGTAGTTCCTTGATTAGGGTATTGTTTTCT